CTCGAACTCACAGAGATCAGCCTGCCTCTGCCTCCCAAGTGCTGGGATTAAAGGTGTGCGCCACCACCTCCCGGTTTGTTTTGTTTTTTAGTTTTTTATTTATTTGGCTTTTTGAGACAGGGTCTTATGTAGCTCAGGCTAGCTATGCAGTTGATAACCCTGAACTCTTGATTCTTCTGCCTCTACTTCAGAGGCATTACAGGCATATCCCACCACACACAAAAATAAAAAGTTAACAGCTAGGCATGGTGGTACTTGCCTTTAATCCAAGCACTGGGGAGGCAGACACAGGTGGTCTCTGGGATTTCAAGGCTAGCTTGGTCTATGCACTGAGTTCCAGGATAGCCAGAGCTACATAGTAAAGCCCTGTCTCAACCTCTCCCTCACTAAGGTAAAATAAAAATAAAGAAGCAAATAAAATAAAAAGTGCTAAAATTTAAACAAAAACTCATTAAAATATTCTATTTATTTCCCTGTCATACACCGAACATGTGCCTAGCATTATGTGAGCTTCTCTAACTAGCGATGCAAAGAAATAGTTCGGCTAAGTCCTCAAAGAGGTGGAAAAACAAGGAGGAAAACAGACTTATCCCAAGCTCAGGAACCAGACAGTAAAGGCTTGACCTAGAGTAGAGTTTCCCAACATATCGTGCCCTAAGTGCCTCTTTCACAGCGTGAGGCAATCTCTTGAATCCCTAAGGAATGTCAGAAAGCGTGTCAGCATTTGTGTGTGGCATACAAAAAAGTGTTGACATAGGTTGCTTGCATTTTATAGAAAACCATGTTTTGAAGACTGTAGTGTAAAGTTCATTTAACATGAATTTAGGGTCAGATGGCTCAGTGGGCAAAGGGGCTTGTTGTGAAGACTGAGGGTATGAGTTTGAGCTAGAGACCCACATAGTAGTAGACCTCTGACCTTTACGCTTGAGTCCAGCATGTGAGTCCATCTCAAACACACACATAATACTTTTTTTTTTTTGAGACAAGGCCTCTCTATGTAGTCCTAGATGTCCTGGGTCTTGCTAAGTAGCCGTGGCTGTCTTGGCTACTATGTAGACCAGGCTGGCCTCAAACTCACAGAGATCCTCCTGCCTCTGCCTGCTAAGTTCTGGGGTTAAAAGTTGTGTGTCACCATCATCAGGTTTATAGCAGCTTTTATAAACTTTTTGTTTTGTTTTGTTTTCGAGACAGGGTTTCTCTGTGGCTTTGGAGGCTGTCCTGGAACTAGCTCTTATAGACCAGGCTGGTCTCGAACTCACAGAGATCTGCCTGCCTCTGCCTCCCAAGTGCTGGGATTAAAGGCATGCACCACCACTGCATGGCTATAAACTTTTTTCTAAGATTTATTTTTTAAATTCTGGTATATGTGTATTTTTGTCTAAGTGCATGAGTGGAGGTGCCCTCACAGTTCAGAAGAGGGCATTGGATCTCCTGGAGTTGGAGTTACAGGCAATTGGGAATCACCTAACATGGGTGCTAGGAATTGAACTCAGGTCCGTTACAAGACCAACATGTGCTGTCAACCACCAACCCACCTCTCCAGTCCCCTCGTAAAAATATCTCTTAAAGTATTGTGTCTTCCTAGCATACAAGTTAACTTTGAAGTTATCCGTGCACCTTAGAGATCCAATGAAAATCTCCTGGAGGCAATGTTGTCTTTATACCCTTCAACTTAGCCATGTTTCATCTGACCACTTGTCCAGTATAGATAGAAGTCACTGGCTTTTGAGAATTGGAGGAAAGGGAATGACTCTTGACTGCTGTGGGACATTTGGCAATGTCTAAAGACACTTGGGTTGTCACAAGCCAGAAGCAGGGCTGGGTTCAAGCTGAGGAATTTGATTGAGTAGGGAGATCCATGGCTGTTGAT